CACAGCCCTCTCCTCAAGCAGAATAAGAGAAAGTTTGCTCTTATGTCAAACTTGTGAGGTCATACCTTAGCAACAGATTCAGGTTATCCCAATTGCCATGTTCAAATGCGGTTACGATTTTACAAAGATTTATAGTAAAATAGAAAATAAAATCATAAATCAAGACATTTTCAAGTGCATTGATAGAAACATCAAGTAGACCAGTATAGCAAAATAGGGAAATCTTTCTAAAGGCCCCAGATGTTGCCAGATGAGAGTCACAAGGGTATTAAGTCTCACAAAGAAGTAGATAACTGATGGTTATGGCAGGACAAAGTCCAAGACCATTTGGCTCTGGAGAACTGAAATATTTTAACTCTATAAACACTGACATTCTAATCATCCAATCATCTTTGTATAAAATTTAATGTCGATGCAGCATTTTCTGGGAACTTCAGTTTACACAGCCATATTCTAACCTGAAACAAAACAAAAGCAAAGGAGAAAGAAAAAAGTTAACTGAGGATTTTGCCAAAATGTTTGTAATAATAAAACAAGAACAAATAAAAGCAAGAAAGAAATGTGTGCAGATATTTAAAAGTTTCTATCCTGAATCTTCTAAACTAATCTCTAACCAGGAACCTCTTCCACCTCATCTCATGCTTAAGTCTAAAACATACTCCTAATAAAAGTCCAGAAATATCTTCAGGCAAAAATTAAATATTTAGAGTTGAGAGCATCAAAGCTTTTTTATCCCACAGGTAGAGTGTTCTTTTATAGAGCTATTAAGAATTGATCCTCCAAGTACTTTCATTACAGAGACCAACAACCTAGGTGGTTTTTCTCAAAGCTACAAAAGAGAGTTTGGATGAGAAGACAGATTTTCCTATGATCTGTAGTAGCCTATTTCAAATGCTCATGTCTGCCTGTATAATATTGAGTGAGAAAATGCAAGCACTGGTACAACCACTTTGGAAGTCAATCTGGCGCTTTCTCAGACAATTAGGAGTAGTGCTACCTCAAGACCCAGCTATACCACTGCTAGGTATATACCCAAAATTTTCTCAAGTACACACCAAGGACATTTGTTCAACCATGTTTGTAGCAGCTTTATTTGTAATAGCCAGAACTTGGAAACAACCCAGAAGTCCATCAACAGAGGAATGGATACAGAAATTGTGGTATTTTTACACAATGGAATACTACTCAGCAATCAAAAAGGAGGAAATCATGAAATTTGCAGGCAAATGGTGGGATCTAGAAAAGATCGTTCTGAGTGAAGTATCCCAGAAGGAGAAAGACAAACTTGGTATATACTCACTTATATAGACCTACAAGATATGATAAACATAATGAAATCTACACACCTAAAGAAGATAATCAAGAAAGTGGACATGGGTGAAGATGATCAATCCTCATTTAGAAAGACAAATGGGATGTACATTGAATGTATGTCAGGAGTCTACCGCAAAAGGCATCTGAAAGACTCTACCTAGCAATGTTTCAAAGCAGACACTAAGACTCATAACCAAACCTTGGCAGAGTGCAGGGAATCATATGAAAGAAGGGGAGTTAGTATGATATGGAAAGGATAGGAGCTCTACAAGTACCAAATATATCCGGGCACAGGGTCTTTTCTGATACTGACACTCAACCAAGGACCATCTATGGATATAACATAGAACTTCTGCTCGGATGTGGCCCGTGGTAGTAGCTCAGTAACCAAGTAGTTTTCCAAAGTAAGGGGAACAAGGACTATTTCTAACAGGATCTCAAGGGTAGGCTCTTTGACCTCCCCCCCAGGGGAGGAGTAGTCCTGTTAGGCCACAAAGGAGGACTTTGCAGCCAGCCTTGAAGATACCTGATAAAACAGGGTCAAATGAAAGGGGAGGAAGTCCTCCCCTATCAGTGGACTTGGAAAGGAGCAGGGAGGAGACCAGGGAGGGAGTTGGGGAGGGGGAGGGAATGAGGGAGCGGGATACAGCTGGGACACAGAGTTAACAAATTGTAACTAAAAAGAAAAATTAAAATTAAAAAAAAAGAAAATGCAAGCAAAATTTCTTGAGATGAAGTCCTATGCCAGGTATTTCTATTGGAAGAGTACCCCTTTGAGCAATACTTTTTTTTTTTTTTTTTTGCCTTTTTCTTCCAGAGTCAAATTGTCCTGGCTATCTCAGTTCTTCAACATTTCCAGAGAAAGCAGAGGATTTAACTAGTTCCTGTGGGTGAGTAATGCTTAGCATTACTTTAACCAGTGTGTTCCTAAATGTAGCAGTTAATAGTACAGATTATTTTTTCTAGTTTCATCCATTTGCCTGCAAATTTCATGATTTCCTTGTTTTTAATTGCTCAGTAGTAGTCCACTATGTAAATGTAGCAGAATTTCTGTTACCCATTCCTCAGTAGAGGAACATCTAGGTTGTTTCCAGAATCTGGTTATTACTAGGCTGCTATGAACATAGTTGAGCAAATGTTCCTGTTGTATGGTTGAACATCTTTTGGATACATGCCTAGGAGTGGTATCATTCTGAGTGAGGTAACCCGGAAACAGAAAGACACAGGGTATATACTCACTTATAAATGGATACTGGCCATATAACATAGGATAACATACTAAAATCTATAGTCCTAAAGAAGCTAAACAACAAGAAGGACCCTGGGAAGTTGCTTAATCCTCATTCAGAAATGCAAAAACGATAGACAGGGACAGGGCAGGAACCGACCACAGAGGGACTATGAAAGAATCAGATGAGCAGAGTGCAGGAAATCTTATGGAAGAAGGGAGAGATAAAAAGACTTGGAGGGGACAGGAGCTCTACAAGGAGATGAACAGAACCAAAAATCTAGGCCCAAGTGCTGGAGCATGCCGGCAGAGTTGAACAGTTCTTGTGTCTGGAGTGAGGATTGAAAGAAAGATTAATAAACCAACACACTATGCTGGAGCCCGCAGGCAGAGTCGAATAGTTCTTGAGTCAGGAGTGAGGACTGAAAGAAAAATTAATAAACCAACACACAACACATGGGATCTTTCCGAGAGGGCTCTAGTAGAAGCTAGATGTCTTGCTTTATTCTAGACTCCCTTTTAAGTCAAAGCAAAAGCTCCATAGTACAATTAATGAATTCACAGGGAAGTCAAAACTTCTTTACCTTGACCATCTGTCTGTGTGATCTTCACATAAACAAAACATGTGAACTAACAAGACATCCCACCTGCTGTTTCAAACAAAAGAGATAGACTCAGTAGCTTATCACTGGCTCCAGTGAAGGCCAGGATGAAAGCATGTCTTTCTGCTGAGATCTAAATAACAAAGCAGCCTGGCAGACCAGTGGCTCCCCATATCCAAGAGGTCCTGCAGAAACCTCCTCTAACCAAGGACCATGCATGGAGAGGACCTAGACCTGTGCTCAGATGTAGCCCATGGGCAGCTCAGTCTCCATGTGGGTTTCCTAGTAAGGGGAGCAGGGGCTGTCTCTGACATGGACTCAGTGGTTAGCTCTTTGATCACCTTCCCGCTGGGGGATGCAGCCTTGCCAGGCCACAGAGGAATTCAATGCAGCCAGTCCTGATAAGACCTAATAGAGCAGGATCAGATAGTAGGGGAGAAGGACCTCCTTTTTAGGGTAGGGGACTAAGGGGAAGGGGCATAGGGGGAAAAGATGGAGGAGGGTGGGGCTGGGAGGAGATAAGCCTGGATACAAAGTGAATAAATTGTAATAAATAATGAATAAAAATAAAAAACTCTACAAGTTATAATCTCTGTTGGTGAGCAATTTTTCCTGTGTCTAAACAGGCAAGGGTTAGTCTGTTTAATCAATTAAATGCCTAAAAGTCTTTATTGAAGCTTAAGGTAATTATTTGACATCCATTTCTCTGAACTTTCTGTAGCCTGTTTGTTGAAATCTGTATGAAAATTTCCCTAAATTTCAGTGATTTTAATTTCATGTGGTCTTAACTTTCAGACTAATATTCAAGATTATTTTAAATATTGTTAATTATATATTAATCACCTTTCCATTGCTTCAGTCATTATCTGAGGTAACCACCTTATGAAGAAAAAAAGGCTTATATTGGCTCATAGTTTTAGAGCTTTCAATCCATGGTCAGTTGACCCAGGTGCTTTTCACCCATGGAGGCACATTGCAACAGAGGCTCATGGCAAAGGAAAACTTCTCAGTTCATAGGAAGTGACAATGGAAGAGATTTGAGCTCACAATTCCCCTCAAGGGCATGTCTCCAATCATCAAGATGTCTTCCACTGAGTACTATCTCTTAAAGATTCTACCACATACAAATAGCATCATATCCTAAGAACATACAGACATTGGTGAAACATTCCAGATCCTAAATACAGCAATATGTGAAATAAAATGTTCATGAGACATCATCTCCAAAATCAAGTCACATATCTACAACGGGAAAGAAATCTTTTATCCATGTATTTGCTCCCAAATCCTCCTCACCCTGGCATACTAATACTAGTCTGTCCAGTAGAGCAGGTTCTTACCCCACTAGATTAACCACCAGCCATGTAACATTGGCCAACAATAACTTTCTTAGATCCTTAGTTCTAAGCACTTAGCTCTTATATCTGACAGTGTTGACAATAATTATACTTGAAAGAATTTGACTGCACACTAGAAAGTCATAAGGAATGAAGGGTAAGTTTTTTTTTTCTTTAGCTCCCATATATTCTTGGTTGACTGCAATACAGATAAACAAATGAAATGCAAACAGAATTTAATATTATATATACATACATGCATACATATATACACACATGTGTATATGAAATACTCAGTATATAAGTAGCCCACAAAGAGATGTTTTTAAAACCTAGTTTATATAAAATTGTCAGCAAATAATAACATTTATAAAGTGAGAAAATAGAGCAAACGTCCTTTAAGCTTCCATGGGTGTCAACTTGTGGGAAGCAAATAAATGCGAGACCAAAGCTGATTAGAAAAACATGCCACTGTAATAGCTGTGTTGACCACAACTTGTCCTCTAGGTGAAGCAGAGCCCTCCATCATGTCAGATGGAGATTATGATTACCTCATCAAGTTTTTAGCCTTGGGAGACTCCGGAGTCGGGAAGACCAGTGTACTTTACCAGTACACAGATGGGAAGTTCAACTCCAAGTTCATCACCACAGTGGGCATTGATTTCAGGGAAAAGAGGGTGGTATACAGAGCTAATGGACCGGAAGGAGCTGTGGGCCGAGGCCAGAGAATCCACCTGCAGTTATGGGACACGGCGGGGCAGGAGAGGTTTCGTAGGTTGACCACCGCGTTCTTCAGGGACGCTATGGGTTTCCTGCTTCTGTTCGACCTGACAAATGAGCAAAGTTTCCTCAATGTCCGAAACTGGATGAGCCAGCTAAAAATGCATGCCTACTGTGAAAACCCAGATATAGTGCTGGGTGGAAATAAGAGTGACTTGGAAGACCAGAGGGCGGTGAAAGAGGAGGAGGCCAGGGACCTGGCAGAGAAGTATGGAATCCCCTATTTTGAAACCAGTGCTGCCAACGGGACAAACATTAGCCAAGCCATTGAGACGCTCTTGGACCTCATTATGAAGCGGATGGAAAGGTGTGTGGACAAGTCCTGGATCCCAGAAGGAGTGGTGCAATCCAATGGCCATACCTCTGCAGACCAGCCAAATGAGAAAGAGAAAGGGATTTGCAGCTGTTGAGACACAAGCGAGCATTGTGGCAGTGCAGGGCACCTGCCTGTGAGCTCGGCCGTGGAGACCAAGCCGGCACCATGAGATGAACAAGACCGCTTCTCCTCATCTCCAGAAGGCATGAACTCAGCAGCCATTTGTAACTTGTCGCAGCTTTATAAGATTCTAGTCCAAGAATTGGGAGAACTACTTCACAGAGCCAAAAGTGTCTTATAAAACCTAAGCCCATGGTAGCAGTTCATTCAGGAATTCAAGACTTTGCAGCCACGAAAGGTTTCATCTGTTATGTAGAATGCCGATGGTCCTGTCACCTGCCTTAAAGCAGTCACCTGCCTCAACACAGATAGACCTAGAGTCTCATGAAGACATTAAGATCTTTGAGCAGTGAAAGGCCATCATGGTCTTGAGAATCCAGATTTCAAAATCCATGCTCTAGAACATCCGTCTCAAACACTTGAATGTTAGGGATGTGCACCCTGGGCCAATGGCCTTCAGCGTTACCTTTCATGTAGGCCTTCCCCTTGACGTGAACATAAACGAATGATGGCCATACCTCCAGATCTGAAAAAAAAAAAAAAAAAGGAAAACATGCCAGTCCTCTGGTATCAGCTCCAGGGTGGTAGGAACCTGAGTCCTCATCACTCAGTAATGGAGGTCAAAATCTAGATTCTAATTTTAGGGAAATAGAAGGAAACCAAGAAGTATCTTTCATCTGCTTCTTAATGTCCTTCAGTTCCATGAGCCCTCATATCTGGGAAGTATATTCAGGATACCCAGAATGTGTGCTATGGCATTTCACTCTAAAGGAAATATTGCTTTTATGTCATTGCTTTTGTTTAATTCAGTTTCTGCTCTTAAGCAGTCTCAGCTATTTCCTCTCTTCTGATCATGTTGTACTTGATAAAAAAGACTCTTTACAGCAGTTTTCATAGCGTGTCTCACATAATTGTGCCTTCACGGTCTGTATGTTCTTCAAAATGATTCAGGAGCACTGAGTTCTACAGTTCTATAACCCCAACTCCAAGGGCAAGTCACACAAATAGCACAAGCTTAGCAAATATTGTGGATAGGACTAGTTAGTAAGTGAATAGATTATACTTTTGGACATCATGTGAAAAGCACATATCCATTTTGTAATACAATGTTACACAAGGAGGCTTGTTTTTATACGGCATTTTAAGAAAAGTATTGTGAAGAAAACATAAAATATGTTTGAAACCTCACAGGTGATTTTTTAAACAACAAAAATAGTTCTGCGGCAGTGGGAAATCTCTATTTGGAAAAAGGAGCAAGTTAGTGTGTGCCCCACTCTGCGGGACAGTATGCGTATCTAAAGCATGTGAGACCTTCCTAATAATGACATCTTAACCAAATACTGGAAGCGTTGTAACACGAAAATGTATGGATGCTCCTTTTATACAAGGGAAAATTATAGAGCAAACATGGAAAATAATTGGATGTGGGCAAGCGTGTGTGTGTGTGTGTGTGTGTGTGTGTGTGTGTGTGTGTGTGTGCGCGCACAATCTGAGGGATGGCAATTATATTAGACCCAAGAATTTTCACTGTGAATTGTAATCTTCTATACATGTAGCTTGACAACAAAATGTAGACAATACTCTTATTTGTCTAGTCTGTTACTAGCCAAATCTTGTTGCAATATTTTGCCTTTCTGGTAAAAAAAAAAAAAAAAAAAAAAAAAAAACAACCACATTAAAGTTTGGATATACTTACTAATTTGGAATTTTAAAATTCTCTTTTAAATTAACTACATTTTATTACATATAAACATATGATGGAAATATTCAAAACCCTTTCTTTTGGGTTTTTAGAAATACATGGCACATTATTATTATTATTATCTGTACTCACCTTATTGTGTGGTAGTCTACCAACATTTTTTTTTTGTTCCTGTCTTCCTTAAACTTTGTTTCATTGCTAAAGCTCTAATTTATCTCATCCCCTCTTATTCGCTACCCTATACCAAGTTCTATGAAATCAACCTGTTTACATTCTAGTTATGATGAGACTACAGGCTTCATATATTTTCTGACAACATTCTTAGCCTTTTGGTTAGTAGAAGTTTGTTGTCTGTTAAACTAACACATTTCAAGATGCTTTACCTGTTAGTCACAGAGGTACTAAAGTCAGCCACAGAAGTCAGCAAGGAATGGCTATGGCTATCAAAGAGGCTAAATAGAGATGAAGGTAAATTATACTTAGACTGCGGGTCAGCAAAATTCTAACCTCTCTACAGTTATTCAAATTCTAATCAGAGCCTTGTAGAATTGTCCCATGTAAGCTGCAGTTCTTCCCAGAAAACCATGCACAGCCTTCATACTGAAGACAATTTACATACATGCTTACAGTATTACTGCATTCTGAATTTATCTGCATACCTACTCTTACCTACTTGATGTCACCCATGTTTTCTTCTCACTCCTTCCATACCGCCATCAGTTTGAAGAATGGCCCTTTGCACTACTTACAGTGCAAGATCCCACAGACCTCATGCAGATACCATCACCCAGGGTCTGTCTCTTTAATCTTTCTATCACACTTTAACAGCTTTGCAGTCTTTTTGATGGCATCCCCTGCCCCTCCTTTTGTATGGTAAGTGGTTCACACCACTTCTTCCTGGCCTGTAAGGACAAATATGCTGTGATGCAAATTGAGATGTCAATATGTACTTTCCCTCTCTACTCTCCTGTGACTCTCAAGATGTCCTTTGTCTTTCATATTTAACGTCTTTATTATGTGATACATTAAGGTAGACTGGCTGATTTCATTCTGATTGGCAACCTTTAACCATTTTATATAGGGAAAGTCGTATCATTTTCAAGATCTGGGAAATTTTCTTTATTGTTTCTTTAAATGAGAAAACCCCACTGGCATTCTCCTGTTCTTGCTGAATGCTAGTAGCTACAGATTTTGCTTTTGTAATGCGTCTGAAGTTCTTGTACATTCTTACTTTCTTTCTTGTTCTTTTTCGGTAAACCCTCCAGGATATTTTCAAATAAGGGGATTTTGAACCAATAATTTTGTTTAGTCAGTCTTTCTGGATATTGATTTCTTCCATCACATCTATTACATTTACAACTCTCCTAGAAAATTTTTCAACTCAGTAGTTTGTTTGATTCTTTTGAAAGTTGAATCTATCTCTTTGCTAAATTTCTCTGCAAAGATATTGAAACACTTCTCTCTCTGTGAGGAAGACAATGCAAACAGTCCTGATGATTCAGTCTTTTTACGACAGCTATTTAAATTCTTATTCTCAGAGTTGTCCCATCACATCACTATCTAATCAGTTTCTGGCATGTCATTTTTGTTGTTACATGATGTCCTAGTTTGCTGAATGCCATGGATGCTTGTTGGCTTCAAGTTCTAAACATTAAAAAAAAAAATGTATTACTAATCCTCGTTTTGCTAATCTTACTTTGTGTCTTGTTTTTTAGAATTCATAGCAGGATGTTTATTTTCTTTGAGCCTGATTTTGCTTCCACTATTTTTGAATTGGATTGCACCAAGTCTGCCTAAAATGTGCTGTGGGTATGATGTCACTATCCTTGCTGCTGAAGGCAAGCCCTATCAGTGTTTCCAGAGTCTACAGTTTGCATGCTGTTCAGAATGAACCAGAAGCTTTATGTAAAGGGAAGTCTATCTCCACAAACCACACTTTACCACACTTTGCATATAGGATGAGGCAAACACTTCAGTGGAAAACACTGGGATTTTTGAAAGAGTGGGAAGTATGAAATAACTGTGAATAGCCCAGTCTTGGGCTCTTATATCAGGTCTGAGCCATCATTATCAAAAGCTGTGTCACAAAGGTCATCACAAACCTGAGAATAAAAGAAGACACATGTTGCTATGGGTTACCTGTTGATGAGATGGACTTATCACCTAAGACCACTGCAACTAGCAACAAATGATCGTACCTATATTAGAAGTCCAATATTACGTGGGCATAGACCTTCTCCTGATAACCATAGCTATTGCAGGATTTTGTCACAGTTAGTCCTTATTTTAACAACCAGATAAAGGGCATTTGATGTATGGACAGCTGTTCACCTCAGACTTCATACGGCTGATCACCTTGGGTTATATAGTTAACTCAAACAAATTATTTGTAGGAACCATAAATAAATAAAAAAAGCACTGCACCTAAGGCTCAAGGAACATTGCTGAAGGACTGTGGAGTTTGCTTTGAGACCGTATCTTCTGGTCAGACTAGAAACTACACCCAAAAAGTATCACCAACATGACAGCCCCAATATGTACTGAACCAGGATGACACCAATGAAAATGATAAACTACATGGAGAAAATCCCATAAGGCTTAGAAGGTCTCAGCCCTCCACAAAGATCTAAAGGCAACTGATGAAAGCTGGGAACAGGACAGGTGAACTTCCTCAGGCTTGGCCCCAGTTGGGGGGAAGGGAGATTAAAATGGAAGAATTCAGAGATGTGGCTTTATTGGAGGAGATATGCCACTAAGGTAGACTTTGAGGTTTTAAAAGCCACCTCCCCTTCCCAGCTGGTTCTTCCTGCTTCCCAGCCATGTCTCAAAATGGAAGCTCTCAGTGCCTCATCTGTCTAACTCCAGCCATGCTTCACATGATGCTGGCACTATGCGGCCACAACTTCTTTCTTTCATGACTTGCACTGCTCATGGCACTTTGTCACAACAATTAGAAAATAACTTCTACAGTTACTGAAAAATAACTTCGACAAGATGATTGCCTACCCACATGTATCTTTGCTAATGACATGTAAGATTGCCCACAATTTGTATTGTCTATAGAATTATATACAATAATTCTATAATTCAACCACATTAACTCTGACCAACTCTGGCTTTTCCTTGCTTACTTTTAATAAAATAACTTTTATTTGGTAAAAGCTTTCATCAAGAAGAGGGAAATACTATCTTACAAAAGAAACTTGTATTTTTAGCAACTTCTCATCACGTCCCATAACACTACTAGACAGAAACTCAAACCTCTGAATTCT